TGGAAGTCCGAAGACAAAGTCCATGGACACCGAACGCCAGACGCCCGCGGGAATAGGAAGAGGTCGGAGCGGAGCTTGTGACGATGGCGATGGCTTCACTCGTTGACATATCTCGCAACTGCGTACCCACTTCCGCACCCATTTATACAAATGCGGCCAGAAGAAGTCGCGCGTACAGCCGCGAAGGTCTTCTCGCGGCCCAAATGTCCGCTGACATGAGTGTCGTGGTACTCATGGATGATCCGGGCGCGGAGACCAGCGTCGTTTGGAACGACGATCCTGGGAGCATCGAAGCAGTCGATGGCATACGTCAGCAGAGTACCATCCAGCCGATACCGCTCGATGTGATTGCGCGTGGGTCGAGGAAGAGCCTTCAGGGTGGCGTCGCTGGGTTCGTGCAGGTGGACCATGATATTAGCGTACTGGTCATCGTGTGCATAAGCAGCAGCGATCTCTTCTCGCAACGTCATAATAGGAGACGCGTTTGTCAGGTTCAGCCCCGGCGCGTCGCAGGTCAGACACGCTTCGTTTTCGTCTTCCTCAACGGTCTGGCGACCCAGACGCTCGTGGGGATCATAGTCTGGACGCCGAGAGAGCGCATCGGCGAGGATGTTGTTCTTGCCGGGCTTGTAGTGTACGACGAAGTTATACTCGGAGACGAACGACAACCAGCGTGCCATGCGCTGAGGCAGATGAGGGCTCTCCATCGCTGTCCTCAGCGATGCGTGATCGGTATAGACGGCGAACATTTGCTTTCCAAGTAAAGACACCCTGAACTTTATCAGCGCGTAGCGCATCGCGAGAAGTTCCTTGTCGTGCACAGGGTAGTTTCTTTCCGCCGACTTCATCTGGCGAGACTGATAACTCACCACGCGTTCACGACCTTCGTCGTCAAACTGCATCAGGGCACACCCGATGGCAAAGTCACTAGCGTCGCACACGACATGGAACGGCTTCGACTCATCCGGAAGCATCAAGACGGGGGCGGATGCAAGACTCTTCTTCACCGAGTCA